TTTATTTATTCTAGCTTTTTTGTTCCCATTACAGTACAGATTTAACATGTTTTGCCAGATTTTTATTTCTTGTTTATTTGTTCTATTTGTTGTTGTTTTATTGATGTGTTGGGCCTCGGCCTCTTGTAAGCCGCACCAAGTCCTTCGGGAGATGTTAGCGGGGTATAAATAAAGGTTTATTATTATTATTATTATTATTATTATTATTATTATTATTATTATTTCTAGGGCAGTGATGGGCAACATTTTGAGCTTGGTGTGTCAAAACTCGCCAAAAAACTGAGCATAACTCAGGTGAGGTGTCACTTCGAGAAAAAAAACCCAATATAACAAAATATATTATTGTAATATATAACTGTATTTAATAAACCAAAAAGCTAATTATTTAACTTACCTGCTTTTTTATAATGCCATATATCTCGGCATTATAGAAAAATGCTGGTGCAGGAGCTGAGGATGAAATGTCCTTCTCTGGATGCGGCCCATTCTTCTGTGTATGCGGCCGCATGTGGCCACGTGTCATCAAAAATGGCTATGCGTGTCAGTGCTGACACACGTGTCATAGGTTCGCCATCATGGTTCTAGGGCATTCTCTCCTGTCGTTTTGCCTGCATCTATGACAAGCATCCTCAGAGGTAGTGAGCTCCTACCTCTGAGGATGCTTGCCATAGATGCAGGCGAAACGTCAGGAGAGAATGCCTCTAGAACATGGCCATATAGCCCGAAAAAACCTACAACAACCCAGTGATTCCGGCCATGAAAGCCTTCGACAATACATATTTACTAATGTACATTTTCTTATGATGCTTTTAAATTGCTTTTATTTTAGTTGTGTTTAAATATTCCAATTGTAGTACGAGGGGTATTTTTTAAGTAAAGTCCGTTTTGTTGTAGACACTAGTAGTTCGCGCGCATACCGCAACGAGTTGTGCCTCGGGAACAACTGTGCTCAGTTTCCGCTCTGTAGCTAACCTGTACGGTTCTGTTCTGTGCTTTAAAAATGTTTAAGACTTTTTTTGTTGAAGAAAAATACAGGCATTATAATAAAAAGAACGAATTGGGACAATCTTCATGACTCTCTGGACAATTTGCAAAAATAAAAAACAAGAGAGACAATTTTATTATCTTTAATAAAAAATTATATTTTTGAATAATAAGAATATTTTATCCAAGAAGATGGAATGGAAGTCACCCTTTTTTTTCTTTTTTTTCTTTTTTTGTGTGTGGATGTATTTTTGTAGTTTATATATATATATACATATATATTTTTATCTTTTTTATTTTTTTAGGGTTTATTTAGGATGTCCTTTTTACTTTTTACTTTACTGGCCTTTCCCTTTCTCTTTTTTTCCTTCACTTTTCTATACCTTATTGTTCTCACTCTTTTGTTGTATTCTATATAAAAATTTAATAAAATTTCTTTAAAAATGTTTAAGACTATCAATTCACCCTCCGCATGTGAGGTACGCTCAGTGATACGTTTTTTGTCAGCAAAGAACCTGCCTGCTGCAGAAATTCGACAGATTTGTGAAGTGTACGGTGATACTGTTATGAGTGAAAGCAAAGTGCGTAAGTGGATACGACAATTCAAAGATGGCCGTGACAACGTCCATGATGAGGACCGCTTTGATTACAGACGATTTGGTTATCGGAGCAGGCGGCAAGTTTTTATGAAGAGGGTATTTTAAAATTGGTTCAGAGGTATGAGAAGTGTTTGAACAAACTTGGCAACTATGTCGAAAAATAGAGTGAAGTATGTACTTTCTGAAAATAAATTTACTTTTTTGAAATAAACTTTCGTTGTGTACTTATGTTCCAACGGGCCTTACTTAAAAAATACCCCTCGTATTTTAACATTACATTTTTAATGTTTTTACTCTTACCATTCAAGTCATTTTTGTGAGTTTCCCTGTGAAAAGTGGACTCTCTCTTCAAAGAAAGTTAAGGTATAAAAAAATTAATGCATAAACACAACTATCAGGTTTTTAATAATGTCTGCAGCCTTTAAAGTAGGGGTCCACAAACCTTTTAAACAGAGGGCCAGGTCACAGCTCCTCAAATTGTTGGAGGGCCAGATTATAATTTTAGAAAAAACATGAATGAATTCCTGTGCACACTGCACATATCTTATTTGTAGTGCAAAAAACCCCACTCAAAACAATACAATAATTAAAATGAAGAACAATTTAAAGAAATATAAACTTATTAGTATTTCAGTGGTAAGTGTGGGCCTGCTTTTGGCTGATGAGATAGGATTGTTGTTGTTGTTGTTGTTGTGTGCTTTCAAGTCATTTCAGACAGGTTGACCCTGAGCGAGGGCTGGGTAAATGACCTTGGAGGGCCATATCCGGCCCTCGGGCCTTAGTTTGAGGACCCCTGCTCTAGAATGAAGCCACTGTCCTGTCTTTGAAGTGGGTAACTCCTTGGGACTGCTAAGTTGTATGTGTGCTTGCCTTCAAGACATCCTTTTCTTAGGCAAAAATTATTTGTAAAAAGGGACCCTAAGTTATGCATTTCCCCAATAATGTCCAGTTCGGCCTTCAGTAACATATCTCTCATGCTTGATTATTTGCAGTATACCGAACACAACAAAACCAAGCACAAACAGTGCAACTCACTATTAACTGCAGACAATGATGACCCAGTACATGCACAGAATTATATGTGAGAGTAAACAAACATTTGAAGACATACAACTGTGTGTGTATGTGTGTGTGTGTGTGCATGTATCTGGTATAGAGCAATAAAAGGAAAGGGTTAAAACACATTCATCCACCCTGCTGTTTCTTTGCTCCAAATCCATCCGTCCAAAACTACTTTTCTTTGTAAACCAAAACTCTGTTACTAGTGTTGCACTGAAAGTACACAATCCTTTTAACACACATTCATACTCTCACCTAACCTGGTTTATTTCCCCTGGCTTTCACTCAAGGTAGCTACAGCTCTGGATTTTTACAGAGAACTCCCAGTGCTGTCACAAATATGCCATTTCTAAGGAACATGCCAAGGTAAGACATGGCACCGAATTGTGTTGCAAAGTGGTTTAGATCTGTTTACATGAACCCTAACTGAAGATAATATAATCACCAATTAGGTCATTACATAGCTTTATAGATGACAGTCTGATCTACAAAGTCTGGATTAATTGTATATGTTTTGTGATGAACGGACTGAGATGTGCACATCCTTAAATCATGCATTTGTGGAGATGTGTTTCTTTATTACTACAGTGCTCCCTCGCTGTTTCGCGGTTCACTTCACGCGGACTCGCTGTTTCGCGGGTTAAAAAAAAGAATTTAAAATATAAGTAGCGAGGGAACACTGTGTACCCATTATCAAAGAGTGTTGTTTCTCCAGCATAGATGCTGCCCCAGACTTGAGCTGCTGAGTTACTCACAGATAGGCATGTGTGTGGTTGGCACAGAGGGCCAGAGAGGGCCGCCAAGGCAGCTTCTGCCAGGGCTTCTTCTTTGGAAGCCGGAAGCATCGTCCTGGCTGGCGAAGGTGGTGGGCTGCAAGGGAGGTGTGTGTTTGGCTGGCAAAGAGACCAGAGAGGGCTGCCAAGGCAGCTTCCACTGGGGCTTCTTCCTCAGGTGACCGGGTGAGAGGTCCATTCCAGTGGGGAAGCAGGGAGGGAGGGAGAAGGGTGGCTCCAGCAAGAGAAAGGGGGAGGGAGGAGGAAGGGAGGGGAAAGAGGAGGAGAGAGAGAGAGAGAGAGGACGGGGAGAGAGGAGTGGGCGGAGCTATACTGTACATATACAGTATAGCATCCCTGCATCGCAGTCTTTCACTTATTGTGGATGGTCCTGGAACGTAACCCCTGTGATAAGTGAGGGAACTAGAGTTGGTTGATCCAAGTCGTAAGTTTCTTAACTCGTAATGAAATCGTAAATAAATTACCTTTTGGAGCGATATCGACGCGTTTTGGCAACCTGGAAGTGTTTTTACCATATCGAAGCCGCGTCCGCCATCTTCCTTACGACTTCCGCCAGTGAATCGTAAATGCTGGGGGCGTGGCCTTCAGGAACAGCTGTTCTTACCCACCACCTCCTTCCTTTTTGCATCGGCGGCTTTGCGAGGTGGGCGGTGGCTACCTCCCTGGCGACAAGCGGCGATGCGGAAGAGCTGGGCGTAGCCACCCACCTCGCAAAGCCCACCTCGCAAAGCGACGATGCAAAGAGGAAGGAGGTGGGTTGGCCACGCCCAGCTCTTCCTGAAGGCCACACCCCAGTGGCCGTCAAGAAGAGCTGGCCATGGCCATGCCCACCTCATTCCCCTGCCACCCATCGTTTCCAGTCACCCACCCAGGGAAGGGAAACTGCAAGATTTTAATACTAATCTCGCAGTTTCCCTTCCCTGAGCGACTGCGAACGGCGATGGGTGGCAGAGGAATGAGGTGGCCGTGGCTATGCCCAGCTCTTCCTGATGGCCACTGGGGGAAACCGCATCACCGCTTGTCGCCAGGGAAGCCAGGGAAACTGTGAGATTTTAAACTAACGGGGGGAGGGCACCTTCCATTAACGAAGTAAACGAAGCTATTCAGATTTTTGCTATTTCCGAGCTTTTTTTCAAGAAAATTTGAGAAATAATTTTAAAATCGAAACGCCAGCACCCCCTATATACGAAACGAGTTTAGAACCATTTTTTTTTCTTGATCAACCAAGCCTAGAGAGAACACTGTATTGCAATGTTCTCATGGCAAAAATGGGCTAAAATGAGACTACAAAAACATACCCCTATGATCTTGTGGCTTAATTGTGTTTTTTGCCCTCCCTCCCATCCAATGTAACGATTTCTCCATTGTCAGTCTTTTCATTGCAAAAAATTGCATACATCTTTTTACTCCATCAGGTAATGAAAACAAGGATTTTATCTTGGTTGAGTTTCCAAACACCAGCCTGGGGAGTTCTTGAGGCAGAATGAAGCCCTGAAGAGAGGGAGAACTACTTCCAAAATTAGGGTCTCAACAGAGCAGAAGTTCCCAAAATGAAGAGACTTACGCCAAAGCAAAGGCCATCAGTGCTCCGACCACCACAATGAAATCCAAGATGTTCCAGAGATCTCGGAAATAGGAGCCGTCTTGTAGGATCAATCCCTGATCTATCATCTGTTGAAAGATGGAGGCAATTTAATCAGAGACTAATAGCAATGAAAGAAATCTGGATATTATAACAAAAGCTCCCCTCTGTGTATCCTTCATATTTAAATCTTGAATGCCCAGAAGACAGTAAACAAGAGAGGAATTATCAAATCAAATTCCATTTTTTAAGTACACTAGGTTGATCGCAGGAAAAAAGCCTCATCGGAAATAATCTTCTGCTTGTGCCAACACCAATATCACAGTATTTCATTATCCCATAATGAAAGAGCATTGAGGAAAAGCACACTTGTTTGTGTCCATATCAAAACTAAAAGCAAACAAATGAGAGATGTACTACAGTTCTGAAACCGGGGAGCACGTCTTTTTAAAAACACATTTTTAAATCATAGAAAAAGATTAACATGGGAAGTATACATGGAGGGGATAACCTTGTCAACATATGCCACTTTTTGCAACCCAGAGCAGGAAACTGGACCCTCAGACAACACTTGACTTCATGAAAACAATCCTTTTTTATTGATGAAAGATGAATACAAAATAGAAGAAATATGCAAAGGTAAAAAGTAAAAATCAGTAAAAATCAGGAACAAGAAATGTCCACAAACAAGATCATGAAATCAACAGCAAAACTGCTGAATCCTGGAATCTGTTAGCAATCCACTAACCATACTTGGAACAACTAGAAAAGGCCACTTGAATCAGGAGACCTGTAAAAGCTTGCACATGAATCTGGAACGATGCCTGGTCTGAAGCTGCATTCAGGCCAGGCATACTTAAGGCCGAGAAATCTATTGCGAGACATGCCTGGAGATTTTGTTTGCATTTCTCTCAATCTGGCTGACCTACGTAAACTTTGTGCTTCACCCCGGCTCTGCCAAATCTGTCCCCGCCTATCCTCATTAGGGAGACCAGGTGTCAGATTCTCTGGAGAACTAAGACTGAGAGGAAAAGGGAATGAAACGTCTCCGCTCGGCTCGGAATGCATGTTCTCATGGGAATTCTGACTTTCACTTTCCAAGGCTGTAGGATTTTCACTACTCAAACCATCATAATCTAAATTGGCCTCAGAATTCACATTGACATCTACATTGGCATCAGGAAATACAATCAGAGAATCAGGTTCAAGTTCACACACAGGCTGAACCCCAACACTACTTTTGTAAAATAAACGTATTTCAAATACCTCCAATGCCTAATCAGTAGCACAGGGAAGCACTCTGCTTAAAAATAAAGCAATTTTAATGGCACAAAACAAACGAGGAGAATCTTCTCAAATGCATTTGAATCAAGTAAAGAAACAAAACTTCCAACCGACTTCACAACCACTGAGGGTGCCTGCCACAGATGCAGGCGAAAGATCAGGAGAGAATGCTTCTAGAACCTACAACAACCCAGTGATTCTGGCCATGAAAGCCTTCAACATTATATTAAAACTTCTCTTTTCGCTACCCATACTGTTTTGGTAAGGACTTTAAAAATGTTTTGCTTCCTCCTCAAGAGGGGTTACTGAGGCTCAGCACTTGGCTGACTATGGCCCCTTCTACACTGCCATTTAAAATCCAGATTATCTGCTTGAATTGGATTATATGGCAGCGTAGACTCATATAATCCAGTTCAAAGCAGATAACATGGATTATCTGCTTTGATAATTGGGATTATATGTCAATGTAGAAGGGGCTTATGAGTATATGGAGTCACTGATTGGTGATCGTCACTAGCTTGCATGACTTTTAAAAAAATGGGATAGTGCAGGATTGAAATTAACATAGCTACCCTAGAGGCATCCAGTTGATCCCTTTTGTAATAGAGTATTTTACGAGCTGGGTCTTTGGAATGACTGAGAAGAGCATGTCTTATGTGGTTAAGCCCCGAGGTTCCTTCCCTATGCCTATTGTGACATATAGCATCCATATATGTTCATTAGAGATCCCAGGTTAAATAAAACATATACCCTTTCAGGTTTGCCAGAAATGTCTAAAAGCTAGCATGCCAATTTAGCTTCCCGGACACCAAGCTGGTGTCTAATTTTAGAAGCCCTGGTCCGTGGGAGTGACATTTGAGGCATGACAGGGATATGTAAAAAGTTCTCCTAAAAAAGGTAGGGGTGGATCCAATTTTTCTTTTCTAATGCAAGAAAATATTTCACATTCTGTTCCCACTGAGGCCAACACCCGCCACCTACAAAAGGGAAGTCACACAACATGTTGCTGTTAACCAACATCAAACCAACAACCTGGCCATCTCTTTTCTTGTCCTACCAGGTTTTAACAAAGTTGCTCAAGGACTAAGAAAGTGGGGTTCCCCATGGTTCTAATTCACTTTTTAATGCCATACAAAAATTTTCAATATTATCCAATCTGTAAACCCCTCTCTCCACAAGAATACATCCTTTTAGAGGGTGGGACGACGTTTCACTACTTCAGTCCTTTTACAGGTGCCTTTTTATGTGTGACAATGTGGGGGAAAATATTTTCTTTTTACTGCCTTGTACTGAAACAGTTTCCCTTTAAAATTGGCTGGGGCTTTCTTGTGAGCTTTTACCTTGAGGCTTTATATCACAGGCTTGAGACACTCTTGTAATAAACGAAGTAACAAAGTTTATTTATAACTTCTGGCTCCAACGCTTATGGTTACATTTGTGTGTTCTGTTGCAGTCTTGAGTCTTACATTCAATATCATCCACTTGGTTAACTTTTCCTATCAAACTTCAACTGTTTCACATCAACAAATATGTTGCTTTTTCATACAATCTTGACAGAACTATATTCTGCCTCAAAAAACACTGGCACTTCTTTGTTTTCCTTAAAACTTGAGCTCCATTTTCCTAACTACTTTTCTCTCACAGAAGTTCCTAACTGTACCTCACAAACAGGAATCCCTAACTGATCTTTTCTGACTCTCTAACTGCCTATTTTTAAACTTAACTCCGCCCCTTTTGGAATGTTCAGCTCTCTTCCCCCAACTGCCATTCTGGCTCAGTGGCCTTTTCAAATCCTGGCCTACACTCATCTGCATACGACCAATTGGCTGCACGTATGCAAATTAATCTTGCCTCTACTGTTGCTACCCTATTTGAGTCAATTCTGCCACATTGCAACATAGAGCTATACATCAAAAATTTAACATAGATCAACAAATTCGCTACAGAGGGCTTCACACATTAAAATTTTGGAATGCTCTTCAGAGCAGAAGACACAAAATATACATAAATACAGTGGGCTCTCTAGATCTGTGAAATCAATCACCTCCAGATCATCAAACAGTTTGGGCACCGCCTATCTCCGCGATTGCATCTCCTTCTATGAACCGGAGCGAACTCTAAGATCTTCCAGGGAGGCCCTACTTTCGCTCCCACTACCGTCACAAGTAAGGTTGGTGGGGATAAGAGAGAGGGCCTTCTCAGTGGTGGCCCCCCGCCTCTGGAACACCCTTCCAAGGGAAATAAGAGAGGCCCCATCCCTCCCCTCCTTTCGTAAGAGCTTGAAGACCTGGTGGTTTCAACAAGCCTCTGAGAATGACCAGTTCTAGTCCAACCCAAACATTGTTGAATATGGCCTTGCACTCTTACCTATTACCCTGTTCATCCCTCTAATAGGCCCTGGAAATGAGCAGCCACAGACCCATACCTGCTATTGCCGTTAGCCTGTTATAGCACTGTACTTAATTCCTGCCCCCCCTCATATTTTGAGTTTGCACTAGCCTTGGCCCAGCTTTTTAATTGCTCTGAATAGGCAGGAATATTTTTAATATACATGTGTAATTGTGATAATTTTATGCTTATGTTGTTTTGTTAATTTTATGTTATGCTGTTTACTTTGTACGCAGAGGTGGCCCTAGGTAATTTTCAATGGTAAGCAACAGTATTTTGGTGCCCCCCCCCAAACAAATCACTGATATATATTTTCTCTTCGTTGTGGGAGTTCTGTGTGCCATATTTGGTTCAATTCCATCATTGGTAGAGTTCAGAATGCTCTTTGATTGCAGGTGAACTATATATCCCAGTAACTACAACTCGCATATGTCAAGGTCTATTTTCCCCCAAAAGCACCTCAAGAGCGCCCCTGGGCAAAATCAACTATACTGCAAATGCTTACTTTGCGTAATGGGTTGAGCCTCCCCTGTTTGTATGTTTCAGTGATGTTACTTGGAAACTGCCCTGAGTCCCCCTCAGTGAGATAGACCGGTATATAAATAAAGTTTTATATTATTATTATTATTATTATTATTATTATTATTATTATTATCATCATCATCATCATCATCATCATCACACCCCGTAATATTAAATGGCAGCAACAGGAATGCAGATACATTGATGCACAATCCAGTTCCGAGCACAATTCAAAGTGCGGGTTTTGACCTACAAAACCCTATTCGGCTCCGGCCCAGCGTACCTGTCCGAACGCATCTCCTTCTACGTCCCGCCTCAGAGTTTAAGATCTTCTGGGGAGGCCCTGCTCTCGGCCCCACCTCTATCACAAGTGAGATTGGTGGGGACGAGGAGCAGGGCCTTCTCGGTGGTGGCCCCTCGCCTGTGGAATTCGCTTCCCGGGAAATTAGGTCATCGACATCCCTCCTCTCTTTTAGAAGGAAACTAAAAACATGGATATGGGACCAGGCCTTTGGGTAATCTGGCAGACAGACAAAGGACAATGACGACTAGAATTGGATAGGATTATGACAATGCGGGACTTACAGATTTTGAGCTTGGCGAACACTGATCACTAGATTGGTTTTTATTAGTTGTATTGTATAACTGGATTATTTATTTATTTATTTGTTTGTTTGCTTTATTTGTATACCGCATTTTTCAGCCTATACAGGCGACTCAATGCGGTTTACATGGTACAGGTTATACAATACAATTCTTTATTGATTAGTCAATTTTGACCATATCAAAACATACAAAACATACACATACAGTAAAACCATATATGAATACGAGGCATCATGGCCTACTGGCCTGTCAACCCACTCCTAAATAATTGAGCAACTACGAGATAAAAAGGTTAAAAGATTAAAATTGTTTAATTCCTTAAAATAGGGTTAGAGTGGGGGGCATGGGTAGGTAAAACTAGTGGCGTGTCCATATTAAGTTTTTAAGTTTGAGTTTTGTTGATGGCAGCAAGGTCGCCTCTCTCTGCTTCCATCTTCTCACGGATGGCCAGCGCTTTTTGGATAAAAAGGGTCAATTTTAAAATAGAGTTTTTATCTGAACCCTGAAGGAGGATGTGCAATTTCTCCTTATTCTCTGAATAAGTATGATTCTCCAGCAGAGGCTCTAGGTAGTAAAAATGGCAGAAAAAATGAAATGCAAAGATACAGAATGGGGGACACATGGCTCGAGAGCAGTACGTGTGAAAAAGATCTTGGAGTCCTCGTGGACAACAAGTTAAACATGAGCCAACAATGTGATGTGGCGGCAAAAAAAGCCAATGGGATTTTGGCCTGCATCAATAGGAGCATAGTGTCTAGATCTAGGGAAGTAATGCTACCCCTCTATTCTGCTTTGGTTAGACCACACCTGGAATATTGTGTCCAATTCTGGGCAGCACAATTCAAGAGAGATATTGACAAGCTGGAATGTGTCCAGAGGAGGGCGACTAAAATGATCAAGGGTCTGGAGAACAAGCCCTATGAGGAGCGGCTTAGGGAACTGGGCATGTTTAGCCTGAAGAAGAGAAGGCTGAGAGGAGATATGACAGCCATGTATAAATATGTGAGAGGAAGCCACAGGGAGGAGGGAGCAAGCTTGTTTTCTGCTTCCTTGGAGACTAGGACGCGGAACAATGGCTTCAAACTACAAGAGAGGAGATTCCATCTGAACATGAGGAAGAACTTCCTGACTGTGAGAGCCGTTCAGCAGTGGAACGCTCTGCCCCGGAGTGTGGTGGAGGCTCCTTCTTTGGAAGCTTTTAAACAGAGGCTGGATGGCCATCTGTCAGGGGTGATTTGAATGCAATATTCCTGCTTCTTGGCAGGGGTTTGGACTGGATGGCCCATGAGGTCTCTTCCAACTCTTTGATTCTATGATTCTATGTTTACATGATAAGGACATTTTAAGAAAAAATGTTCTGAGTCCTCCACTTCTGCATCTACCTCACGGCAGCCACAGGTTCTCCTCGTGTAGGGAATATTCTGATGTCGTCCCAACTTGGACTTAATGTCGAGCTGCTCAAATCTAGCCCGGGTAAAAAAATTTCTAATATAAAGTGGAAGTATAAAAGAGAGGTAAGGTTCCATGCCCACATTACATTTAAATTTGGCCAGGTATGGAGTGGCTCTAGCTTGCGCTATGTTCATTAGATCATTTTGTGCAGCAATGTCGAGAGCTCTTTGGTATACAATTGAGCATACCTTTGCCCCAAAATTTGTTAACTCGTGAGGGGCAAAACCTAACCTACTAACTGTGTGGCCAAATGGGTACAGGTTATCATAACAATGTCAGTGCAATTAAAGACATAACAAATAACAACAAAGTCAATAGTATCAATCAACAACCATTAACAAATCAAACATTGTTTTAATTATTTTATAACTGTTGTTTTAATTATTTTATAACTGTTGCTGCTATGTATTTTAACTTACTATGTGTATTGCTGGCATCGAATTGTGCCTTTTGCAAGCCACCCTGAGTCCCCCTTCGGGGGTTGAAAAGGGCGGGGTAGAAATGCTTGAAATAAATAAATAAACAAATAAATAAATAAACTGTCATGTCATTGCCATTTAATAGTATGGTATTTGTCACCTGTGTTTTTGATATCAATGTGAGATTTCAGAACTAAACTTTTGAGGAACACAAGGGCGCACTGCACATATATTATGTATCACTGCCTAAACTGGCCTAGTGCCCATTCCTGTTCACAGTGCTTCAATAAGGCTGTACTGCTACTCCAAGTGTCTTCTACATGTCTAAGTTGGCAGCTCATCATCCTTTCCCCAGGCAGCAACATGTACAAAAGCCATCCCTGCTCTCTGGAGGTTTCTAGTCCCACAAGGCTTTAATTGAACAAAAGACCAAGGTCATGTCATTGGTGAAGTCCCAGAAGAGATAATAATAATAATAATAATAATAATAATAATAATAATAATAATAATAAGGAAGCCGATGAAACCATGGACCATCTCCTCAGCTGTTGCAAGAAAATCGCACAGACGGACTACAAACAGAGGCACAACTCTGTGGTCCAAATGATTCATTGGAACTTATGTCACAAGTACCACCTGCCAGCAGTAAAGAATTGGTGGGATCATAAACCCTCAAAGGTCATAGAAAATGAACATCCAAAAATACTGTGGGACTTTCAAATCCAGACTGACAAAGTTTTGGAACACAATACACCAGACATCACGATTGTGGAAAAGAAAAAAGTCTGGATTATTGATGTCGCCATTCCAGGTGACAGTCGCATTGAGGAAAAACAACAGGAAAAACTCAGCCACTATCAAGACCTCAAAATCAATCTGCAAAGGCTCTGGCATAAACCAGAACAGGTGGTCCCAGTGGTGATTGGCGAACTGGGTGCCATGCCAAAAGATCTCAGCTGGCATTTAGAAACAATAAACATCGACAAAATCATGATCTGTCAATTGCAAAAGGTCACCTTACTTGGATCTGCGAGCATCATTCGAAAATACATCACACAGTCCTAGACGCTTGGGAAGTGTTCGACTTGTGACTTTGTGATACGAAATCCATCATATAGATCTCATTTGCTGTGACTTACTGTGCTTTTCTGTCAGTAAAATAATAATAATAATAATAATAATAATAATAATCCTTAATTATACCCCGCCACCATCTCCCCAATGGGGACTCAGGGCAGCTTAGATGAGGCCAAGCCCAACAGTACATTACAACAAAATAAAACCAAAACAACAAAACAAACATCACAATTAAATATATAAAAATATAATAATGCAATAAAACAATAAAATGCATAAGAGAAAGGAGCAGGAAATAAACTCAGCATGGTCTATCTCAAAGGAAGGTCTGCCGCAGAGGAAAGGATACACAACAGAAAGAGGGCAAAGCAAAACATAGAGTGGCTTTTGTGATTTGCACACCAAGATGATTTGCTACAACGACAAAGTCTCTTGATAGGCAGGGGAAGTTTATAGAAGGACAGGAAAATCAAGGCAAGGACAAACTAAAGAAGCTAGTAACGCTATTGGAGCTCAAGGATACCCATGGTTACCAAAAGCTTGCAGTATATCAAGGACAAGAGCTCCAACAAACTCTGACAATTCATCCAAGGAACCACTTTAATTTATTGAAAATACATTTCATTAAAGAGAGAAAGGGCAGCATTTTCCCCTTTGGGTTGTTGTAGGTTTTTTCGGGCTATATGGCCACGTTTTAGAGGCATTCTCTCCTGACGTTCCGCCTGCATCTATGGCAAGCATTCTCAAAGGTAGTGAGGTCTTTACCTCACTACCTCTGAGGATGCTTGCCACAGATGCAGGCGAAACGTAAGGAGAGATTGCCTCTAAACATGGCCATATAGCCCGAAAAAACCTACAACAACCCAGTGATTCCAGCCATGAAAGCCTTTGACAATACATTTTCCCCTTTTATTCAGTAGAAGAAATGGTACTAAGTAGGCAACACTGAGAGCCAGTCTCATTTGCCAGGAGGTGGCAGCACATAAGAAAAGTTCAAGATCGGATCTTTAACATGACCCCCATCATTATACTGAAAACCGAACCACAACACTATGTATGAAATGAACATGAAGTGTATGTTTTTTTCTACAGGTTATTTCAAACAATTTGGTCTCTTACCTTAATAACCATCTCAAAGGTAAACACACCGGTGAAAACATAGTCAAAATACCTCAGGACCTGTCAAGGAGAAAGGGAAGGATGAAGTATGTGTATATATCTGTGTTTGTGTCTATCCATTTATCTTTAATGAGAAACCTCACACATTTCAGCAGCAACTACATTATGCTTTCAAAATACTTTCAAATATGCTGGCCAGCAGCTACATATGGGGGGTTTTCTGCCGTTTCCATATCAATTGCCCAAGACCCTTAATAATTTTTCCTCTACATGCACAAAACATTAGGCTTGGGCGATCCAGATCGTTATTTTCGTTACTCGTTATGCATTCGTATTTAAATTAGCTTACGATCCAATATCGAGCCATGCAGGAATAGTGTGAGGAGTAATTAAGAATTGAAACAATTTCCCCATTTTTCGTCATTATTTCGGATGTCTGGAGAAAGTTTAAAAAACTCAGTTTCCCTCCCCTCTCCCTGGTTGCAAGCGGTTGGCATTTACCCCACTTCCGGGTCCCTGGCCTCCGCTTAAGCGGATCAATTTCCCCTCTCCTCCTGCCGGTCATCTCACTTCGTTCCTCACTCTGGCCTGCATTGGGCAAAGAGGACACAGCAGTGCAGCACTCACAGAGACCTGCCTGGTGCCTGCCTAACCTCCTACCTTCCTGGGCAGGGGTTAAAACTATTATTATTATTATTATTATTATTATTATTATTATTATTATTGAGAAGCATTGTCAAACCGGAATAGAGATTTCCCCCTCCTCTCTCTCTCTCCTCTCTCCTTCTCCGAGGTTAAAACTATTATTATTATTATTAGTAGTAGTAGTAGTAGTAGTATTAGTATTACTATTATTATTATTATTATTATTATTATTATTATTATTATTAAGAATGGATGGCCATCTTTTAGGAGTGCTTTAATTGTGCACTCCTTGCATGAAGGCAGAAGGGGGTTAGTTATTATTATTATTATTATTATTATTATTGAGAAGCATTGTCAAATCAGAATAGAGATTTCCCCCCTCCTCTCTCTCTCTCCTCTCTCCTTCTCCGAGGTTAAAACTATTATTATTATTATTATTATTATTATTATTATTATTATTATTATTAAGAATGGATGGCCATCTTTTAGGAGTGCTTTAATTGTGCACTACCTGCAAGAAGGCAGAAGGGGGTTTGTTGTTGTTATTATTATTATTATTATTATTATTATTGAGAAGCATTGTCAAACCGGAATAGAGATTTCCCCCTCCTCTCTCTCTCCTCTCCCCTTCTCCAAGGTTAAAACTATTAGTAGTGGTAGTAGTATTACAAGCCATTTTAAAGCGTTTTAAAGACTGGAGTTTGGTTTTGGTTAGTTGTTAGTTTTATCACCAACAGTCAACAACAGAAGGAGAGGGAAGCTTCAGAAGTTCCCCCTGTCCCGTTTGGAGGTTTTTTTTTATGTATTGCGCAATTGTGTCCGCCATTAATGAATCGATTCGTATATTTATGAAATTTCGTAAATATTGAAATTTTAAAATTGGAAATTTCGGAAATCCTATCATATTAGAAACGCGGGAGCTCCCTAGATACGAAACGAGTTTAGAACCAAATTTTTTCTTGATCGCCCAAGCCTACAAAACATCTTTTTTTTAAAAAGAAAAAAGAAAATTTTCCTGCAGGCTTACTATCTTACATCTCCCCAGAGGAATAGAGATATACAGGCAGCGTCCAGATCCTGATTCAACACTTGCATGTTCTCTCCTGGCTCAGTTGAAAGGAGAGGTAGAGCTAACTGTCATCAACACACCGAGCACCATATAAGCTTCCTAAACATTAAAACCAACAAACACACTCATGCCTGCCTTGGTAATGGTTAAAACAAATCCTTTCTCTCTTCACAAGCTACTTCACTATCTGTCTAAATCTGAGAGAATATTTCTGAGGGAATAATAAAAATATCTAAGCCTGTACTACAGTCTGAAATGACACAGCCCAGTTAAACCTGAACCCAAGGAAACGGAGTTCAAATTTGCACTGGGCTGGAAAGTGGGTATTTAGCTGAGGAATTGGAGCTCATTTACATTAGCTTCTCATGGCAGGGCAGAATGGTCAAGAAACGTAGTAATCACTTTATTCCTCTCTGAGTTGGTCAAGACGGGGTCCTCTGCTGCCAAAGCAATGCTGCTCGCTGCAATCACCAGAAGAATGCACATCTCAAAATAACGCAGGTTGACAATGTAATGGCAGGCCCTTCGGATTCTGTCAGGGAGAGAAGACAGGTTGGTTACTGCAGCAGCCAAAGCCTTGCCACCGACATGAGATGCTACTCTTGTCATGAAAATTGCCATCACCTGGCACATTTTTGTAACATTTCAGAGTATTCAGCCTGAGGTAGGGCTGCTCCTGAACATGCCGTGAATGTGGCAGGATGACTGCACAATAAGATATCTGGAAGCATCCCAGCTCTGCTTAATGGCATGTTTTCAGATGACAACCATTCTTACTCTTGACAAGTGTATTCAGATGTATTCTGAGGACGTTTAGTTTCACAACTCTGTTTCTATGAGCTCCCTGCAAATAACCTGCTCCTATTTTTATCTCATTGAGTCTTTTAATTGTTTTATCCTGTACATGTGGCCCGCCCACAGTTATCGTTACTGTGTTTATTGGAATGTTTTATTTTATTTGTTCTTCTATGTAATTTTGATGATGCTGTTTGTTGTTTATGTTCTTGGTTTTATTCTGCTGTAATACGAGGGGTATTTTTTAAGTAAGGTCCGTTTTGTTGTAGACACTAGTAGTTCGCGCGCATACCGCAACGAGCGCGTGCGTCGTGTACCGGCATGCCTCGGGAACAACTGTGCTCAGTTTCCGCTCTGTAGCTAACCTTTACGGTTCTGTTCTGTGCTTTAAAAATGTTTAAGACTATCAACTCACCCTCCGCATGTGAGGTTCGCTCAGTGATACGGTTTTTGTCAGCAAGGAACCTGCCTGCTGCAGAAATTCATCGACAGATTTGTGAAGTTTACGGTGATACTGTTATGAGTGAAAGCAAAGTGCGTAAGTGGGTACAACAATTCAAAAATGGCCGTGACAACGTTCATGATGAGGACCGCTCCGGTCTTAGGAGTGCCTCTACAAGAAGTTAAGCGGGATTTTGTTTTTTTTAAAAAAGATTAAATAACACTGTTCAATGGAGAAAAGGTTTCAGGCCTGAAAATATTTGTTCTTTTATGATTTTGGGGTGCCGAAAACGAAAATGACATTTAAACATGTATATTGGCTCTAGTTTTTATGATATAAGCAATCATGTGATCACATATGGTTCAAAAATGCATGTTGCGACTTACACTATGGAAGATTCTAGAAAGTTGCGGGCCTGAAAATAGCTGTTTTTTTATGATTTTGGGGTGCTGAAAACGAAAATGACATTTAAAAATGTATATTGGCTCTAGTTTTTATGATATAAGCAATCACGTGATCACATATGGTTGAAAAAAATGCATGTTGCGACTTACACTATGGAAGATTCTAGAATATTCTAGAAAGTTTGATGACGCAGTATTAGTGCCGTGTGCAAAAGCCAGAAAGCCCTATATAAGGCCAGACTTTTGAACGGTGAGGGTCAGTCAGTTGAAGACTGAGAGAGTATCGTTAAACATCGTTTTACATTGTTCTTTTTACTGTAGTTATGCCTCAGACGTGTGTAAATAAAGCACTATGGAAAAAAGATATCAAGGCCAATGGACTCCGTCAATGCTGTCAGACTACTGCTGGAGCATTGTAAGAGACAATCATTTCCTTGAATACAAAAGAAAAGTCAGGAGAAGCAAACAGGATATAAACTAAAGTCATGATTAAAGCGACATTTAAACTTTCAGACTTTTCAACTGCATTAGGCCTACTAATATAGTTTCTTGCTGCACAAACATAAACAATAGACTAATTAAATAAATATTTCTCATGTATAAACTATTGGCAATATAATTTGACTAAAATTTAGTAAATATTCACGGTTTATATACATGCAGTAAGGTTAGGCGCATTATCATAATATTACCAAATTACCTATTGTGGAGAAAATTGAAATAGCTGTTGCATAAAAACCAGAGCCAATTAACACATTTAATTATTATATTTGAATTCAGCATGTTAAATTTATTAAGAAACAGCACATTTCATTTCCGTAACTGAGAAAAACTGAAAATTTGTAGAACAGTGTAATTACTTGTGTAGGTATTTTCTTTTAGTAAATAATATGTGCTGGACCTCAAGCCTGGTCTGGAGTAGTGTAAGGGGCTTTGACCATTTAACTACTGCTGTGTTGCCTCACAATCTCTTTGATCGTCCGGGGACGAGGGAGAGGGCCTTTTCTGTGGTGGCCCTTCGACTCTGGAACTCGCTCCCCAGGAATATTAGGCAAGCCCCCACATTGGCAGTCTTTAGGAGGAGCTTGAAAACTTGGTTGTTCCAATATGCCTTCTCAGAAGAAACAATAATTCCTTGTTCTGACCAATTTTCTGCAAAATGTCCTCTGAAGCACTTTATTTTATCTGTTAGGTCAATCAACCCTACCTTACCCTCTAAAAACCCGTTAGGTTTATTTTACTGCTGCTCACACCCAGTGTTTTAAATTTGTAATCTATTAGATTTGGCCCTGTCCACAGTGTTGGACCCTTTTGTTTTTAATTGTTTTGTTTTATTGCTGATATGTTATTTATAATGGTTTTGTATTGTATTGTATGTTTATTATTATTATTTTCTTTCTTTTATTTTATTGCTGTGTTGACTTACTGATGTATGTATTGTCAGGCTTGGCCTCATGTAAGCCGTCCCGAGTCCCTTTGGGGAGATGGTGGCGGGATATAAATTATTATTATTATTATTATTATTATTATTATTATTATCCTGCAATTTCATCAGAAAGAAATTTGTTGGTGACAATTCCTTCAAATGCCAACAAAATGGAAATAATTAAAAAGTGGAGGCTGATGAAAGCCAAAGTCTTCCTTGGAGGCATTTTGGAAGAAGATTCAGAATGTTTTCGCCAATCTTACCTGACCCAGGTGTTTCATTTCATATGGGCAAATTGTCAGTTTTGAGTGAAAATATTACTGCTTTTTTTCTATGATGAAGGAAACAATCCCTAATTTTCCATGTTTTTTTTCCTGCATCCGCTATCAAAGTTTCTGTCAAAGACATAATGCTCAGGAGCACTCATGCTTCACTAACTGAAGTATACTGTATTTTTAAAATATTCACTTCAAGCAACTGCTAGTTGTGTGGATGGTGTCATGTCTACACTGATCCTTAGAGGAGTGTAAAGTGTTTGAAGGGCAAGTTCCCAAATCAGCAATTAATATAACTGTAGCAGCTAATAAAAAAGTAAAATGTTGACTTGAGCATAGTCTCTAATGCAATCATTTAGGCAAGTCAGTAGTATCATTGCCATAGTGCAGATGAGAATATGAGAAAATGTGGCTTAGTGAACCCTTTACGTCAAATTGAAGATTTAACTGAGCAGTCAGGGGCACAATTAGGCAACAGTTCCAGTACAGGTCGCAACTCTGCCTATGAACCCACTAAGGCTTTGAGATCATCCGGGGAGGCCCTGCTCTCGCTCCCGCCTGCTTCACAAGCACGGCTGGCGGGGACGAGAGATAGAGCCTTCTCAGTGGTGGCCCCTCGGCTGTGGAACGCCCTTCCCAGGGACATTAGATCGGCTCCATCACTAATGGTATTCCGGAAAAAATTGAAAACCTGGTTATTTGAACAGGCGTTCGAATAGACAGTGCAATGAGTCTAATGAACATAGGAATGGAACAATGGATGATGAATCTAGATCATGTTTTTAGTTATGAGACACCAGTGGATGGTTATTGTTGTTAACTGTTTAATGTGTTTATGATGTTAATTGTTTTTATATACCGTATTGTTGTAGCATTGAATTTTTTGCTGTTCTTGTTGTTAACCGCTGTGAGTCACCTAAGGGCTGAGAACAGCGATATACAAATAAAGTAAAGTAAAGTATGTAAAGTAAAGTACAGGGCATTGATGGAGAGAGGAGCATCCCTGTGGTGTGCATGATCTTTGGGGCAGGCGATTCAGGCATTATGCCACTCAGCACTCTAGAAGACATGTGTGCATTTCTGTAAGGACCTCATCACAAAGGCCCATGGATTTCCCACGCATTGTGGCAAATCCATGGGCTCTTGGTGAAGGATGTGAAGAAGCCATCACTCCATGCTCCCTATTATACGACTTGTCTTGGACGCCATCACATGGGGTGAGCGTTGCTGCCCGGCTTTCCCCCATTGCTAGTTAGGCAACACGGGAAGGCTTCTGTGTTGTGGCGGAAGTGGCAGCATATGTCGCTTGCTCTCCCCTTTCTGGACAGAGTGCAATTAGAAGACAGAGGTCCTCCTGGTAGATTGTAAATTGGATCGGGGTATAGGGTGGCAACCTGTGTTGGACGGGGTTACACTCCCCCTGAAGTCACAGGTCCGCAGTTTGGGTGTCCTCTTGGATTCATGACTTACGCTTGAGTTTTAGGCGTCGGCGGTGGCCGGGAGGGCCTTTGCACAATTAAGACTCGTGCGCCAACTGCGACCGTACTCAGGAAGGCGGATCTGGCCAGGGTAGTCCATGCATTAGTCACTTCTAGACTGGATTACTGTAATGCACTCTACGTGGGGCTGCCCTTGAAAATGGCTCGGAAATTCCAGATGGTCCAACGGGCGGGAGACAGGTTGTTAACCGGGGCTCCTTACAGGGAGTGGTCAACCCTCCTGTTTAAGGAGCTCAACTGGCTGCCATTCATTTTCCGGACCCAATTCAAGGTGCAGGTTCTCACCTACAAAGCCCTGAACGGTTTGGGACCCGCCTACCTCCGTGACCGCATCTCTGTATACGAACCACACGATCTCTTCGATCCTCTGGAGAGGCCCTGCTCACGCTTCCACCAGCATCACAAGCGCGATTGGTGGGGACGAGAGAGAGGGCCTTTCAGATGTTCTGGCAAAACCCACTGAATAGACTCAGATTCTGCAGGAATTGTTTCCCATCTTCTCTTCACTGCTGTATCCAAAGTCTTTTTCTAGTGAAAATTGTTTTCTCTCAACTCTGGAACTCACTTCCTAAGGACATCAGGCATGCCCAAACTCTGGCAGTCTTTAGGAGGAGCTTGAAGACGTGGTTGTTCCAGTGTGCCTCCCCAGAATAATGATCCCATAGCACTTTGTCCTCCAAAGCACTTTATATTGTTTTAGGTCTGCTTATATGTTTCCACAAATGCCCCATCACTTTTTCACCCATTTTTTAATTTTAATTACATTTGGCCTACCCACAGATTTTAAAAGTGTGTTGTCCTATTGATAATGTTTATGTTATTGTTTTGTTGTTTTAAAATTCCTTGTATTGTTGTTGTTATTGCTTGTATTGTTGTATTTTGTTTTTAATTGTTTTTAATTTTTGTGGTTTGAAATTTTACCTTGACATTTTAATGATTATATTTTAAATTACCTTTTAACTTAATCAAGTTTGAATGTATGTTAGTTCACTATTAAGGGAATCTTAGGATAGTGATTCATCATGAGAAGAAAGGAAGACAATGATGCTGGGGAAAATGGAAGGAAAAAGGAAGAGGGGCCGACCAAGGACATGATGGATGGATGGCATCCTTGGAGTGACTGGATTGACCTTGAAGGAGCTGGGGGTGGTGACGGCTGACAGGGAGCTCATGAGGTCACAAAGAGTTGGAAATGACTGAACGAATGAACAATAACAACAACAAGGATATTGATTATTGTCTATTTGTGTACGTTTCTGTTTTTGTCTTTAATGTTGATACGGTCAGTGGACTAATCAATAAACTTTGCTTGCATATTTTAGAATTTTGCTAGGGCACGAAATTATGAAACAATCAAACTTTCTGAATAAATGTTCAAGGCTGGAGATTTCCTGTTTGTGCATCAGATGAGTTTGCTTTGTGTGAGCTGATCAGAATGCACGGTCAGGGAATCTCTCCTGAAAGATTCTAGTATGAACATGTTTAGGGCTCTGGTTCAATTTATGTAAGGTCCTGGGATCTATCATTCCAATTTCCACATGATTAAAAATGTACGCTACATCCTATAGATGCACAGAGCAAGGAGAAAGCTAATAGTGACAAGCAAGGCTTTCACTCAATAAAGCTTTTCATCTGTTACCTATTATCGTCTTAGTAAAATACACATTGTAAGCTTCCAATTTCACAAAGCAGTTGGCAAAACTATGTATTATGCAGGGAAAAATATTAAAAACCAAAAAGCAATATATCTCACGGGTTTGTGGTGCTGAATATGAACATGGAGCTGTGTGGCACCATTGGTTTTCCTGTTGCAGATTTCTTCTTCTTTGGTTTCTTCTTTTCTACTTCTACCTCCTCCTCCTCCTCCTTGGTCTCTGGTTCCTTCAGAGGGCTGGCCTCTCCATCTGTCTTGTTGCTAACTGTGAAGTGAAGGTGTTCTGTTACTGCATTGGGTGATGAAGATATACAAGGCAAAGAAAGAGGTTCACATGGGACTCTTGATGAGTTTCTCGAGGGACAGATTTTTATTATCTATCTATCTATCTATCTATCTATCTATCTATCTATCTATCCATCTATCCCCCAATATGTCACCAGTTAAGGACCTAAAGTGCTTTACAGCACAGATTGAAACAAAATACAGCTAAAAGCCTCATAATAATGTGGTTAAATACAATCAAATACAGAGTGTTGTGTGGTTTCTGGGCTGTATGGCCGTGTTCTAGCAGCATTTTCTTCTGATGTTGGTTAAGGAGTGCTGGGAGGGACTATGAGATCCCTTAAGGAGCATCATCAACAGTTCCTTAGAGCAAGGAATTTTTCCAGATTGCCTGAAAGAAGCAGTGGTCTACCCTCTCTTGAAAAAAACAATGCCTAGACGCCACCATATCGCCCAGTTTCAGGCCCATAGCCAGGATTTTGATTCGGGAGGGGCTGAGTTTGATTCGGGGATAGGAGTGTAAAAATAAAAGTACTATACCACCACCATTAAAAAGCTCTTCTCCACAATCAGTTAACTGCCATAGACCTGTCTGACTAAGCTGAAAACAAAGCAGAAGGGGAGTAGGGTAGTTTTCTTTAGAGAAGAGCTCCACACCTACAAACAGCTGCTGAGAAGGCCTTCTCGCACATCCTCACATTTGGTGGCAATGATTGGGACCAAAGAAAAATCTCCCCCAACAATTTAAGTGTCAGGCTGGCTCATGCTGGGAGAGATGGTCTTTCAGATGGTCTGCTGAATTATTCATAGCATATAGTCATTATATAAAGGAAATGCAGACAGGTCTTTGCTCCCAAGATATTCACAGTCTAAAATAAGAAGTGGGAAAACAAGAGAGGGAGGGTAAGATGATTTCAATCTATCTCCCCACACTACATTCTAGAAATGGATCGAAACAAAGAACACATCCAAACATAGCCAAGTAGCTGCTGGCCAAAACATGCATCTCTATATGATCTTACCCTCCATCTCCAGTCTCATGTTAACAAAATATTTGCAGAAACCACCTAGAGGATGCGTCATCAGATCCTTATAGGCTATTGATTCAAAATTGGAATTGTCTCTTCTAGTAGATTGTCCTGCCCAGAAAAAAATATTCCTCCTTGTGAAATGAAATTGCCTTTGCCTTCAAGCGATTAGCAAGGTCTTAAGGAAGGACTAATATATGCTACAAAGTCACAGAGACATCACACTGGCAACCAAGAACCGCATAGTTAAAGCAATGGTATTCCCCGTAGCAACCTACGGATGTGAGAGCTGGACCATAGGGAAGTCTGAGTGAAGGGAGATAGATGCTTTTGAATTGTGGTGTTGGAGGAAAGTTCTGAGAGTGCCTTGGACTGCGAGAAGATCCAACCAGTCCATCCTCCAGGAAATAAAGCCCGACTGCTCATTGGAGGGAAGGATAGTAGAGGCAAAGATGAAGTACTTTGGCCACATCATGAGAAGACAGCAAAGCCTAGAGAAGACAATTATGCTGGGGAAAATGGAAGGAAAAAGGGCAAGGTGGATGGATGGTATCCTTGAAGTGACTGGATTGACCTTGAAGGAGCTGGAGGTGGTGACGGCCAACAGGGAGCTCTGGCGTGGGCTGGTCCATGAGGTCACGAAGAGTCGGAAACGACTGAACGAATGAACAACAAAATAAAAGCAAATGTATTGAAAACCTTCTGAGCCTAACAAACAATTGGAGGATTCTGCGTATTGTTAATTCATATTATGTGCAAAGAAAAATACTTTCTGCAACTTCTATTTTGCATTACTTTCCGTACTTCCTCGGTAATGGAAAAGCAAGAGCCTCAGGAGAGCAATATAGTTTTGTTTTATTCTTCTCTTGAGTTCAATAGGGATTGTCCACCTGCTTTGGGTCAATTAATGGTGGCACTTGTTAAGTGGGTGTTTGTACTAGCACTCTGGGAGTTGAATGGACTCTTACCACTTGCCTTGCTCTCTTACATTTCTGATTAGATACAGGGCTGTGAAAAGGGATTGTATTACATGCCCTGACATTGTGGATGCATGACTTATCAAATGCACAGCATGCTAAGTTAATGCCCATCACCTATATTCATGCTGTAAGTCATGATGCATGCTGTTGTTATTTCCAGCTGATCCCTAATCCATCTAAAACACAGACATGTGCTTTTCACCTTAAGAACAGACAAGCATCCCGAGCTCTGAGGATTACCTGGGAAAGAATCCCACTGGAGCATTGCAGCACACCCAAATACCTGGGAGTTATCTGGACCGTGCTCTGACCTACAAGAAGCACTGCCTGAATATCAAGCAAAAAATGGGTGCTAGAAATAATATCATATGAAAGCTGACTGGCACAACCTGGGGATCACAACCAGACACAGTGAAGACATCTGCCCTTGCGCTATGCTACTCTGCTGCTGAGTACGCATGCCCAGTGTGGAACACATCTCACCACGCTAAAACAGTGGATGTGGCTCTTAATGAGACATGCCGCATTATCACTGGGTGTCTGCGCCCTACACTACTGGAGAAATTACACAAAAAGTGGGTGCTAGAAATAATATCATTCGAAAACTGACTGGCACAACCTGGGGATCACAACCAGACACAGTGAAGACATCTGCCCTTGCACTATGCTACTCTGCTGCTGAGTATGCATGCCCAGTGTGAAACACTCACCATGCTAAAACAGTGGATGTGGCTCTTAATGAGACATGCCGCATTATCATGGGTTGTCTGCGCCCTACACCACTGGAGAAATCACACTGCCTATAAGTAGCAACTAATAGTGAAAGGACCAAGGCAGTGACATCTCCAGCTCATCCCCTGTTTGGGTATAAGCCAGCACGTCAACGACTTAAATCAAGACATAGTTTTCTTAGATCTACAAAGACACTCGCTGGAACATCTCAGCAAGCGAGAGTCCAAAAGTGGCAGGCTCAAACCCAGAACCTCAATCAATGGCTGATACCAAATGAGAGACTCCCCCCTGGGCACACAGAAAACTGACTTGGAAGGCGCTGAACAGACTGTGCTCTAGCACCACGAGATGCAGAGCCAACCTTAAGAAATGGGGCTACAAAGTGGAATCCACGACATGCGAGTGTGGAGAAGAGCAAACTACAGACCACCTGCTGCAATGCAACCTGAGCCCTGCTACAGGCACAATGGAGGACCTTCTTATAGTAACACCAGAGGCACTCCAAGTGGCCAGCTACTGGTCAAAAGACATTTAATCAACTATTAAGCTTGCAAACTTTGTGTTTTGTTTGTTTGTTTGTTTGTTAACAAAATGTAATACAACTGTTTGGTTTGCTCCTGACATGATAAATAAATAAATAACCTATATTCATCCAACTAGGCGCAAAAACTTGAAACATGTCTCTTTTAAAAGATAAAAGTAGATATCACTCACAGATAGATATCTACATAAAAACTCCAACCATCACACAAGTCAAAAAAGAAGCACCATTAAAGCCTTGGCAGACCGTGCAAAAAGAATCTGCGAACCCCACCTCCTCCAAGATGAACTGAACCACCTAAACTGGGCTCTCCAGGCCAATGGATACTCCACCTCAGACATCAGAAGAGCTGCAAGACCAAGAACAAGCCACGAGAGTCAAGACAAAGATCCACCCAGAGGAAACGTGTTCTTGCCATATATCAAGGGAACCGCTGACCGCATAGGGAAGCTGATGAGGAAACACAACATACAAACCATCTACAGACCCACCAAGAAAATCCAACAAATGCTACGTTCAGCAAAGGACAAGAGGGATCCTCTCACTTCTGCAGGTGTCTACCATGTACCATGCAGCTGTGGAGAAGTCTGCATAGGGACGACCAAACGCAGCATTGCCCAAACACGAATCAAGGAACATGATAGGCACTGCAGACTACTTCAACCAGAGAAGTCAGTCATAGCAGAGCACCTGATGAACCAACCTGGACACAGCATTTTATTTGAGAACACAGAAATGCTGGACCACTCTCACAACCACCATGTCAGACCACACAGAGAAGCCATTGAAATACACAAGCATGTGGACAATTTCAACAGAAAGGAGGAAACCATGAAAATGAACAAAATCTGGCTACCAGTATTAAAAACTCTAAAATTGCAACAGCAAAACAACAGAGAGGAAACAAAAGGCACATCTTAACACCTCTCAACAAAAGATTCCCCCAGGCTCACCCAGGCTTTCAAATGCTAAGGAAAGTGGTCAGTTGAAACATTCACACTCAGCTTCAGCAGAGAAGAGCTCTTTGCCCCACCCCAGTCATTCCACAGATATATAAACCCATTTTCCTAATTCCAACAGACCTCACTACCTCTGAGGATGCTTGCCATAGATGCAGGCGAAACGTCAGGAGAAATGCCTCTAGAACATGGCCCTATAGCCCGAAAAAACCCACAAGAACCTAGTGATTCCAGCCATGAAAGCCTTCGACAATACATTGAACATCTCTACAGGGAGAAACTGTTCCAAGACACATGGAAATTGGAAAAACTAAGGACCAGGAAAGCACATCTACTGTGCTCCCTGACTTTCCTTCTATGCTGCAGAGACACAGATACCATCCCACAATTTCTCGCAGCCAAAAGGACTTTCAAAACACCACGGGCTCACCGGATCTATGACCGCCTGGAACGCAACCTCTTACGAGAGAGAATTCACACCATCCGCAAAGAACTCACAAACACAGACAAGGAACTGCTGCACCTCCATATCAACATCAGCCAGAATTAAAAAACTCTAAAATTGCAACAGCACAACAACAGAGAGGAAGCAGGCAGGGACCTCTAATTACCTCTCAACAAAAGTTTGCCCCAGGCCCATTGTATGCTAATCAGCCCATTGTATGCTAATCAAGGTGGTCAGTTGAAACATTCACACTTAGCTCCAGCAGACAAGAGTCCTTTGTCCCACCCTGGTCATT